CTGAGGGGAGCAGCGGGCGGGTCAGGAGAGGTCTGCCACGCCATGTGGATCTCCTCCGGGGCGGGTGGGGATCGAACTCATGCGGAAGTGGCTTTAGCTTTTTAGTGCAGTGCTTTAACCCGCTGCGCCACCAGGGAGGGCCCAAAAAGCCTGTTATTTTTAATGATTTATTTTGTTTATTTGTGCATATAAGAGCTGGGTGTCAGCTAGTAGTGTGGCGAGTGAGAGAATTTATTGGAGACAGAGTAGGGAATAGGACTGCAGATTTGACTGAAAATGCTGAGGAGCAGTGGGTGAGACAGGAGAGATGTGTGCTGTATCATGTGCGTCATCTCCCTGGATGACAGCTTCATAATACTTGACCCTTTGCGCCACCACTGAGGTACTAAAAGATTTAGTTATGCAGAAATTTACTGTAGTACCTCAAGTAACCTTTCAGACTTAAAGATGTTCTGTACAAATTTATTTTTGTATATGTAGCATTTATAGTACTTGGTTTTGAAAAACCACATCTTTATCGCCTTTAAGTTGAAATTTTAAAAACTCTTAGTGGACACAAAGATGCACTTTCACATGATTTTACTGTCTTAAAAGTTTGGAAATAAGGTAATGGGATATTTTTTTATCTATCCCTCTCTCTTCACAACTTGTCACTAAATGCCTTTGTAGCATTTTGTTTCTTAAACATACTTGATTGGTAACATTTTTGTATTCCCCTCTTGCCACAGTGTAGTTATTTCTTTATATTAGAAGCACATATTCCTTATATTAGAGTATACACCAAAACCAGAAAAAAACTTAAATAACTCTAATCCTGTATACCCATCGGCAACCCTATCTTATGAACACCCTAGTATGTATTCTCATTGAAAGAATATATGAAATATTTCTGAAACATTGTGATTTTTGTAGTTATATTAGTCTTTTTTGTGACTTTTATATTATTTAGCTTAAATTTCCTAACCATGATGGTTTTACATTTTTGTTTAATAGAAAGTGGAGCTGTTCCGAAAAGAAAAGATCCCTTAACGCACACCAGTAACTCATTGCCTCGTTCAAAAACAGTTATGAAAACTGGATCCACAGGTCTTTCAGGCCACCACAGAGCACCTAGCTGCAGTGGTTTATCAATGGTTTCCGGAGTAAGACAGGGACCTGGTCCTACACCTACCACTCATAAGGTACCTGGAGACAGTCACTCTAATTGCTGTGTTTTACAGATGAGAATTTTAGATGTGTTATACTTGATTAAGGTCTATTGCAATACTTTCTAATACCTTATAGAGTGTTGGGAAGTTTCTGTAGAGTTAAATGTAATTTTTCACTTTTAAAAATCTATAAAGGGAATGTTCTATTAAGTAGCAATTCTTATTTTAAACTCCTTATTGACCTAAGTGCTTTATCCAGTCTATTTTTTAACAAACTTTATAGTTCATTTTCAATTTATGATTCATTTAATTGTTTAAATCTTTGTAAATGGATATTTAAAATTAAACATACCTATAATTTTGTTAGAGTTCTAATAACAATAGTGAAAATTATATAATTTTGTTTTTCTAGAACCTTTGTATATTTTATAGGTATTAAATCTGGGTAAAATTCTCAGTAACCCATTTTCTGCCAAATGTAATTAATAGTCAATACAATTTTACCTTGAAGTAAATGCGTAAATTTTTTTTAAAGATTTATTTATTTATGTATACAGAACAGGGGTACAGGCCAGAAGTGCAGGGGTGGTAAGAGGATTCAGCAGAAACAGTGTGGGGAGCCGAACAGGCAGATAGATGAAGTATACTGCTGAGAGGAGCAGCAGCAAGATGAGAGGTCTGCTATGCCATGTGGGTCACTTCCTGAGCCTGGGATCAAACTCATGCTGAAGCAGCTATGGCTAGCTTCATAGTGCTGTGCGTTAACCGGCTGTGCCACTAGGGAAGGCTCCAAATGTGTAATTTCTTAAAAAATAACTATATCATTTTTCCTGTTTTTAAACCTCTGAGTACTGTAAGCCTTTGAGTAATTTATGCAAAGTATAAATGTGTTGACATTAAAATTTTGTGTTCTTTAAGAGTACTCCCAAAACAAATAGAACAAATAAACCTTCTACCCCTACAACTGCTGCTCGTAAAAAGAAGGACTTGAAGAATTTCAGGAATGTGGACAGCAATCTTGCTAATCTTATAATGAACGAAATTGTGGACAAGTAAGTTTTGTCATTTAAAGTATCTTATTTTACAATTTTTATTTTTTAATTTTACTTATAAAATATATCAGCAATGAAAAAGCACAAAATGAAGTAAAAATAAACTATTATAATATCTTTTTAAAATTAAAAGAAAATATATCAGCAGTGAAATAGACCTTCTCTAGTTACATACTTAATTTTTATTATTTCTTATTATAAACACCATTGCTTTGCTAACTATAGTGTCACAGTTAACATAAAAATGACTGCATATCATTGAGATTAGATTTCATATTATCATAACTGAAGCATATGGAATAAACTGAAATTTCGTTTCCTAGTGGGACAGCTGTTAAATTTGATGACATAGCTGGTCAAGAGTTGGCAAAACAAGCATTGCAGGAAATTGTTATTCTTCCTTCTCTCAGACCTGAGGTAAGAATTTCATATTATTTCATTTTAACATCATTCACTCATTCACTACTTAATAAACAGTAACATAAAGAAATGTTCAAGCTAACTTAAAAGCTACACAGTAAAAGAGACTACAAACACAAACAGACACTTTATTAAGTGGAGAGATTATTTTCACATCATGCAGCTGACAACTGACATCTACAAAGAGGACATGAAACTTGACCAGAAGAAAGCAGATAACTTGATACTTTGTTTCAAAACTGTGCTATCCAGCAATAATGTAACGCCTTTGTGTTTGCCCACATAAGTCAAAAAGCTGCACATGAAATGTTTACAGCCACTTTTTTTTTTAACTGCACATAATGTTTACAGCCACTTTGTTTGTTTGTTTGTTTTAAGGTTTATTTATACATAAAAACTGGGGTACAAGACCAGAAGTTCAGGGTGGTGATGAGAGGATTCACCAGAGACTGAGTGGGGAGCAGAACAGGCAGATGGGCGAAGTACACTGCTGAGGGGAACATGGATGGGTCATGAGAGGTCTGCCATGCCATGTGGTCATCTCTGGGCTGGGGAATGAACGCACACTGACACCGATGCTGCTAGCTTGAAGTGCTGTGTCCTACCTAACTGGTCGTGCCACCAGAGAGGGCTACCACTCTTTTTTTATTTGCCAAAAACTTGGAGACAGCTCAGATACTATTTAACAGGTAGATCAGTACACTATGGTGTACAAATACTATTTAGTACTAGAAAACATGAAAAGACACCGGAAGTAAATACATGTTGCTAAAACAAAGTAGCCAATTTGAAAATGCTAATACTGGATAATTCCAGCTGTCTCATGGAATGACAAAATTAAGAGAAGTTCATAGGGAAGAAGGGAGGGATGGATAAAAATGTACAGAGAACTTTTTAGGGCAGTGAAACTGTTCTATGTAATAATGACACAAATAGGGTACCGTAATGTAAATTGTGGACTTTAATTAATTATAATACAGCATTATTGGTTCATCATTTGTAACAAATCTATCACACTAGTACAAGCTAAAAACAGTTGAGAGGTGAAGGGTTATATGAGAAAGCTCTAAACTTTCTGTTCTTTCTGTATACCTAAAACCATTTCAAAGTATTTTTTTTATAATAGTTTATTTTTGCATCATTTTGTACATTTTATTTTTAAAAGACTTATTTGTGCATACAGAACTGGGGTACAGGCCAGAGGCTCAGGGGCGGTGAGAGGCTTCACCAGAGACAGTGGGGAACAGAACAGGCAGATCGACAAAGTACACTGCTGAGGGGAGCAGCAGGTGGGTCAGAAGAGGTCTGCCGCGCCATGTGGTCACCTCCGGGGCAGACAGGAATCGAACTTATGTGGAAGCGGCTTGAGATTCTCAGTGCTGTGCTTTAACCCGCTGCCCCACTAGGGAGGGCCTATTTTGTACATTTTTTTATCTCAGTTGTAATGCCCGTGTTGTTTCCCATCACCAAGTCACCCATGTGCCATCACTACAGTCCAGTGCACTTTCAAAGTATTTTTTAAAAGTTCAGTGTCACTTCTATAGGTTTAATGTACAAGAAATACACGTTCGCTATTAAAGTGTTACCAGTCCTGTGCTTCACCCTTGGCTCTTGCCTGGTGTTCTGAATATGGCTCTTCGGCCCAAGTGTAGTATCTGTTTTTATCAGTGCAACATCTAACAGGTCTTCTATCTGAGGATGGTGTATTAAATGGATTTTTGTAACAGGGAGATGGCAAAGGCATTTGCCCCACCCATCCCACTCACCACTCTGGCACTGCAGTACCTCTAGGAACAGTGCACACGCAAAAAAACTTAACAGTTCATCTGGTTTTCACCATCTCCCTTACTCATGCTTTGTGTGATACCAGATGCCTCCAATTCTTGAACCTTTCCAGACAATATTGGTATTTTTTTTTTTCTGTTTGTTTTTGTCAGCTGTTCCTTATGTCTAGATATTCCTTCACAAGTAGACACTTAAATTTTAGCCCCCTCAGCTAAGAACTTTATCACTTATTCATCTATAAAATATATTATGTCTTCAAAGTATATTGTTGTCTCCTGTTATTACTGTTGTTCAGAAGGTTTAGATTTTTTTTTTATTAGTTTAATATTACTTTGGTGAGATTTCAAAAGAAACATCTATGTTCAATATGTCTTATTGAAACCAATCATTGATCATTGAGGGCTGGGTTTTATTTAATTTAGTTTCTACTGTTTTCAGTAGTTTATGAAGTGTTCTCTTTAAAGCTCTCGGCAGCACTATTTGAGAGAGGATATTACTGAAAACAGTGTTTATTTGATAATACATTAAAAATTGTGGCTAGTATTGTCTCTAAAACCATACTTATGAACTAAAGTATGTATTTTTAAGTTGTTCACAGGGCTTCGAGCTCCTGCTAGAGGATTGTTACTCTTTGGTCCACCTGGAAATGGGAAAACAATGCTGGTAAGAATCCTTTAAATTTAAATGTTTTATTGAGAAAGCTAAGATTAAAAAAAAGTAATATAGACATAGTCCCTCAGTCTGTTACATATAATTTCCTTCTGCTATAATAAAATTAAATTTTTAATATGACAATGGAAAGAAGATGAAAATCCATGTATTTTATTCTAATAGTATGATTTGGGTTGGTTAAATTTAATTGTATAATTTTTATCATTTTCCTAAGTTAAATAATCTTTGACCTGAGACCTACTTACTTTACTATATTATCTTCCAATGTCTGTTCTGTTTGCTTTCTTAGTTTTATTGATAAAATCAGCATATGATAATCTTTTGCTTTGTTTTGTTTTTAAATATTCTTTCGCCAAAAATGCTTCTTTCCCCTTCAGGGCATTTATAGAAGGAAGAAGTAAACAGGGGAACAGTAACTTTTTTCCTTAGCTGTTCATCTTTTTCTAACTGGTTATTTTTCTATATCTGGAAAGTGAATAGAACCCTCGTTTTTTGTTTTTTTTTTAAGATTTACTTATTTATGTTTACAGAACTGGGGTACAGGCAAGAGGTGTGGTGGGTGAGAAGATTCACCAGAGACAGAGTGGGGAGCAGAACAGGCAGACTGACAAAGTACACTGCTGAGGGGAGCAACGGGCAGGTCAGGAGAGGTCTGCCGCGCGATGTGGGTCAGCTCCCTGGCCAGGGATGGAACTCGTGCGGCAGTGGCTTCAGAGAGCTTCATAATGCGGTGCTTTAACCTGTTCCACCACCAGGGAGGGCTCCTTTTTTTATTTTTTTAACCATCCCCTTATGGAAAAACGAGTTGAAAGAAGTGCATCTCTTCCTAAACCCATTTCTAATTGCTAAGAAGGAAGCACATTGACTGCCATTTATTGAGGATTGCTTCATACATTTTTAGAAAGTCTTTTCTTATACTTGAATTAATCAAATTGGTTATTTCTTAAGGCAAGATGTTGAATTAATTACAATATTTGCTTTGTGATTTTTAAAGGCTAAAGCAGTAGCTGCAGAATCAAATGCAACCTTCTTTAATATTAGTGCTGCAAGTTTAACTTCAAAATACGTGAGTATTCTTTTTAGTGTTGTCCGTTGGTAACTATGTTAAGTGTTAAACACTTGGCATATAAATGATATCATGAATATCATTCTTCACAGTAAAAAGTTCTATACATTTGTTAGGCTTTCAAAATTAGAATTTTGCTGTCAGTGCTATATTAGTTTGTTAGGATGGTGTGAAAAAATATCAGATTATCTGACTTACCCTACAAATTTATCATCTTATAATTTTGAACGCTAGAAAGCACAAGATCAAAGCAATGCCAGGGTTCTCAGTTTTGTGAAAGAATTAAAAGTAACTATAAATTGAGACTGCTTTTTTTCACTCCAGTTTGCATTCTATGTGAAAATTCTTAAATTATTATTAAAGTAGACTTATCCACATGCATTTAATATAATGAAAAGCCCTTTTTTTTTTCAAGATGGAGATAGTAGGGCTCCCCCCCAAATTTTATGTACTGAGCTAGCCTTCAGAAATTATCGCTAAAATCTTACACATTATGTACAAGTGTTGATGTCATAAGAGATGATATCTTGGATTCCTTCCAATTCAGAATATTTGATAAGATGATTTTAAATCTGGAGCTGTTCCTTTGTTTGAAAATTTTCCTTAAAAAAAATAGATGCCACCTTTAGAGTATTTTCACATTAGATTACCACAGACCACATGGTCCTTTTATTACTTGTTTGGTTCGTAGAATAGTTTTTTTTTTTTTTTTTTGTTCATATAGAACTGGGGTACAGGCCAGAGGCTCAGGGGTGGCGAGAGGCTTCACCAGAGACAGAGTAGGGAGCAGAACAGGCAGATCTACGAAGTACACTGCTGAGGGGAGCAGCGGGGCGGGTCAGGAGAGGTCTGCCATGTCATGTGGTCACTTCCGGGGCAGGCGGGAATTGAACTCATGCGGATGTGGCTTTAGCTTCTTAGTGCTGTGCTTTAACCTGCTTCGCCACCAGGGAGGGCCCGTAGAATAGTTTTAATATAATGTCTCAGCTCCTGGGAATATCTCAAAAGGTGATCATAGATATCTGAGGCTACTTAGAAATATATTTATTGACAGTGATAATTATGAAAAATGAGTTTTCAAGGTGTTCTGAATAGAATAAATTTTCTTCAGAACAATACTTTTCAGTTTATTTGCTTCTAAAAATGTTCCCTGCAACCTAAGACTTACAGAATATGTTTAGTGTAGTATACATTTTTTCCCCTAGCCTACTAATTACACCCCTGATTAATAACAGTCCCTAAGTTTTAGGAAAACAGGGTGAAGCAAAACAGATGTATTTAATCTTTTTCAAGTACTTAAGAAACTGTGTTAAATAATAATCTATATTCTGAATTTATAAAGGACAATTTTTGGCATACCTCCTCCATCCTCAAACCATATCTTTGTTGCCGAGAAAGGAAATTAAATTTCTAGATTCTAGACTTTTAATTGTTAAATTAAGAAAGCTAAAATAATGTTGCATGAGCTGTATATAATGCCTTATTTTAGGTGGGAGAAGGAGAGAAACTGGTGAGAGCTCTTTTTGCTGTGGCTCGAGAACTTCAACCTTCTATAATTTTTATAGGTAAGACTATGTTTTCCAGCTAAGTTAGTTGAACATTTGTGAAATACCTCTCATAATATGAGAGCTTTGATAGGAAAAGTAATCCAAAATTTAAAAGTTTTAAAGAAGCCCAGATTTAAAGACTAGTGAATTGAGTGGGGCCAACTATATTAGTAACTTGTGTTGTAAACTAGGTTAACCTCAAATGATTCATATAGTTTGTCTTTTAATTAAAGACATATCCTTATATTTCTTCTAGATGAAGTTGATAGCCTTTTGTGTGAAAGAAGAGAAGGCGAACATGATGCTAGTAGACGTCTAAAAACTGAATTTCTAATAGAATTTGATGGTGTAAGTGTGTCAATATGATATTTTTAACATGATAATATTTAAATACATACATTCTACCAAGTGATCCAATTAAAAATACATATATCATTATTGTATTTTTCTTTGTTAATACTTTAAAAGTATTCAACAAAATGTTTTGGCCTACAGGTACAGTCGGCTGGAGATGACAGAGTGCTTGTAATGGGTGCTACTAATAGGCCACAAGAGCTTGATGATGCTGTTCTCAGGTAAGGGTGATTTATATGGAAACATATTACAGATATATTTATTCATGTGTTCATCTCCCATATGTCTGTCTTTCATCTCTCTCAGTTTTTATGACTTATTATTTTCCTCACTATATCTTCTGGTGTTATATCACCAACTAGATAAAGATTTTGAGAATAGGATTGGTATATCAAAGAACTACTCTAAGATTTATTTATTTATGCATACAAGAACCGAGGTACAGGCCAGAGATGTTTGGGTAGGATTCACCATAGACAGAGTGGGGAGCAAAGCAGGCAGATCTACTGAAATACACTGCTGAGGGGAGCAGCAGGCTAGACAGGAGAGGTCTGCTGCACCATGTGGGTTAGCTTCTTGGCAAGGGATTGAACTTAGTCATGCAGTGGCTACGGGATAGCTTCATAGTGTGCATTTAACCTGTCACACCACCAAGGAGGGCCCCTAGTTTTCATTTAAAGCTTTAGGCAGGGCCCTCCCTGGTGGTGCAGCAGGTTAAAGCACAGCACTATGAAGCTATCTCAGCCACTGCAGCAGGAGCTCAATTCCCGGCCAGGAAGGTGCCCCACATGGTGTGGCAGACCTCACCTGTCTCACCCGCTGCTCCTGTCAGCAGTGTATTTCAGTAGATCTACCTGTTCTGCTCCCCATTCTGTCTCTGGTGAAGCCTCTTACCACACTTGCACCTCTGGCTTGTATCCCAGTTCTGTATGCACAAATAAATAAAGCTTTAAATAAATAAAGCTTTAGGGGAATTGCTTATTTCTTCTGGGTTGGATGAGGTTACTTAAACTTCATAAGAAGCTTATTAAAGCAGAATTCATGGCAAATATTTTTTCTGTTTTTGTGTATTTGAACAAATTGTTCTTTTCATAATTGGTAGGCTGGTTTGACTCAGAATAAAATTCTCGGTCTTCCCTCTTTTTGAGGAATTAATGGCATTGCCTTCCTGTTTCTAGCATTGAATATTGTAACGTAAGAGTCTTAAAGCCAGCCTGCTATTATCACATTTATGGTTTAGCTTGATTGTTTTCCTCTTTACTGGATGTAGTTCTCAACCATTGCAGTCTAATCACTCAAAAAATATGTTGATTTATCTGTATTTTTCTTGGATTTACTGTTTGTTTAAATCAATAATTTGGAACATCCTTTATTTATTTTTTTGGTTTTCCTTTCAAATTCAGTGTATACCCCTTTCCTTCCATATCTGTGACTACCTTTATAATCCTTTTCAGCCTTCTGTTTTGTCTTTTTTACTAAGTTTTTTTCCTTATTTCTTATATACTGTTTCTAATTTGCTTCTAGCTAGAACTTGTTTCTGCTCTCTTATATGGACTATTCTCATATATGTGAGGTACTATCTCATTGAGATTTTTGCATTTCCTTCACTCTAAGTGATGGTTTGATCATTTGTTCTCTCTCTTATTGAGTTGTTTGAACTTTGAATATCTTGGATATCTGCCCCGATCATATGTATGGCATACAAATATTTTCTTCCTTTCAGTAGGTTGGTGGTTTCCCTGTGATGGCCTCTTTCATTGTGCAGTAGCTTTTAGTTTGATATAGTCTCAATTGTTTATATTCTCTTTTGTTTTTCTTGCTGTTAGAGAAGAATTCACAAAGACATCAGTGAAACTTAGGTCTTAGAGTTCACCTGTTTTCTTCAACATATTGTATGATTTCAGTTCTTAACTTTTAAATGTTTTATCCTTTTTGAGTTAATTTTTTGTGTATGGTATGAGATACTTGCCTAATTTCATTCTTTTTCATGTTTTGTTTAGGCAGCCCTTGTTTGTACATTTTAGTTTTATAAATGTAACTGTGTCTGTTGATGAAGTTTACATTTCCATTTCTGTAGTCCATGTTGCTTTTAGTTGTTTTGTTTCAAGAAGATACTAGATATCGCTATTTCACCGCTTATATCTTAAGTTCTTAATCAAGATTTTTAATGTTAAAGATTCGTTGCTATTAAAAACATTTACATATACACGTGGTTAATTTACTTCTGATAATATTGAGATAAGATTTGTAAATATGTTAATATTAATTAGAGATTTTGCAATTGACTGTTGATGAATACTATGACACATTTAAATGCCTTGATCATTGTACTTAAAAATTTTCTTATTACTTGCTCTATAAATTGATTTATCTTTAAATTCAAAACTGAAGTTACATGAAATCTTTCCTTAGGCGTTTCATCAAACGAGTGTATGTGTCTTTGCCAAATGAAGAGGTATGTATCTATGTGTGAATTTTTTTTTTTTT